TATTTCTAGGACCGGGAATGTGACGGAAATATTTTGTGTTGTGTCAAAAACTCTTGATGGAACCCTTAGTGGTGTAAAGGCGGATTCATAAATCACAAGTACAACAGTATATTATTTTGTGAAATTTAAATTTAAATAAGGTTAAGTATACAAAATTTGTAATGACGTCATCAAATTTTTATTAGCAAATTACAGTCTAATCATTAAAGACGGCATACAGACAGACAGAGAGACGACAGACAGACGGAAATAGAAGACTTATATTTTCGAATTTTAGATGTTATGAAACATGAAGAAAACATTGAACTTCCTATGCCTTTGAAGTACAGTGCAATAAAAATTTATTACCATATTTATCGTATACATTTTCAGCTCTGCTACATCCTTTAAAAGATATGCCAGTGGGACATGATCTTCTTGATTAAAATCGCAATTCTTCAGGCAGATTATTTATTAAAAATTACGAAAAGCACTACGAAAAAGGGAACTATTTTTAGTTCCTGGTAAAAAAAATGTTCTAGATGTTTCACTGTCTACCTCCATTGTGAAGATATAAGGTAGTGGAATTTTAACTGAGACACTCGGTAGATCAAAAAAACTAACTAACATATGTTCAAAATATAGGTATCTGTATCAGGTTGTCTTAGTAGTGCGAATGGATTTTTATAGTCAGTATGTTTATCGCAAACAAAAGTGTTAATTTGAAATGAAATTTTATAAAAATTTGATGTTTTTTCGAGCACGGCTTCAACCTCTACGATTTATTTTTGGTGTTATTTCTAGGAAAGTCTGTACCACTTTTCAAGAATTGCCAAATGACATGTGGTAATTTTTTTGTGTTTTAACAATATGAACTTAAAAACTAACACCGTCGCCTGAGAACTTGTTTGATCTACAGACTAGAGTGCGCTCAGGCCAATGTCGACTCTAACCGTTCAGAATTTCTGCGGAATATACATACAACTAGTTTTTTGTTTAACTAAAAATTACTTCTTTAACTATGTTTTATACTAGTAAAACGCTCTAAATTGGCAATACTAGTGGAACAGTAGTCATGCAATAGACTTTTTACTAAAATTAAAATATCGAAAAATTGAAAAAAACAGAAGTTCAAAAGTTTCCAAATCTGAAGACACTGAGAAATCGAAAAATTGAAAAATCAAGAAATAAAAAAATCGGAAGGTTGAACAATTTTTAACATCGAAAAACCAAGATGGCAAAAAAGTTCCAAAAGTTGAAAATTGGAAAATTGATAAATCGAGAAATTGAACAATCAAAACATCGAAATGTCCGAATCTCGATAAATCGAATTATCAAAAATTGAAATATAGAAAAAACAAAAAGGAAAGCTGGAGGAAACGAAAAATCCAGAATTTTAAAAGTTAAAAAATTAAAATGTGGAAAAGTTGAAAATTTGAGAAAACGAAGTATAAAACAGTCGAAAAATTGAAAAATCGAAAGTTTAAAAAACGAAAAATTGAAAATTCAAAATGTAAAAAATCGAAATGTCGAATAATCGAAATGCTGAATTACCTTAAAACTGAAATACCGAAAAATTAAAAAATATAAGAAAAATTGAAGAATCGAAAAATTGAAAAATCTCAAAACTGGAAGAAATATCCAAAAATTGAGAAATTAAAAAACTGAAAAATCGAAAAGTCGAGAAATTAAAAAATCTAGAATTTAAAAATTGAAAAGTTAAAATAATGAATCAAAGTATTAAGCAGTCGAAAAACTGAGAAATTTAAATTTAAAAAACGAAAAAGTAAAAAATCCAGGAGTCGAAAACTCGAAAAATCAAAGAATCGCAGTACCGAAAAATCCCAAAAAAGAAAAAATTGAAGAATCGTAAAATCAAAAATTCCAGAATTGAAAAAATCCAAAAACTGCGAATTTAAAAAAGTGAAAAATTTAGAAATCGTAAAACATAAAGGCGATTTCTAAAAATCGAAAAATTGAAAACCAAAAATTTATTAACGTCAAAATAGTGAAAAATTGAAAAATCGAAACATTTAAACATCGTAAAATGGGAGAGGAGAAAAATTGAGAAATCGAAAAATAAAAAAATCTAGAAATCGAAAATTTGAAGAACGAAAAATTTGAAAAGACCCAAAACTGAAGTCTTGAAAAATTGAGAAATCGAAACATCAAAAAGTCAAAAATTCGAAGAATTGAAGAATCAAAATATTGAAAAATCCTAATGGAATAACGAAAAATTGAGAAACGGAAAAGTAAAAAATCCAGGAGTCAAAAACTCGAAAAATCAAAGAATCACAATACCGAAAAATCCCAAAAATGAAAAAATTGAAGAATCGAAAAATCAAAAATTCCAGAATTAAAAAAAATCCAAAAACTGCGAATTTAAAAAAGTGAAAAATTTAGAAATCGAAAAGCATGAAGGCGATTTCTGAAAATCGAAAAATTGAAAACCAAAAATTTATTAATCAATTCTATTATATAATTTTCAAAATAGTGAAAAGTTGAAATATCGAAACATTTAAACATCGTAAAATGGAAGAGGAGAAAAATTGAGAGATCGAAAAATAAAAAAATCGAGAAATCGAAAATTTGAAGAACGAAAAAATTGAAAAGGCCGAAAATTGAAGTCTTGAAAAATTGAGAAATCTAAAATTGAAAAATCGAGAAATCGAAAAGCCGAAAAATCCCAATATCGAGGATAAAAATTCAAGACGTATTCATAAACCACAAGTTCTGAACTGTGCTACTTTTTAACAGTTAAATAACATTTATTCGACAGACTTGTAAAATGACATCATCAATTCCTGAGCAACATGAACGAATAAATTTTGACTAATGATTTAACATTCTTTCAATAAATATAAATGTTGTTGATATATATCAAATCGCTTAAAGTCGATATTGGCCTGAGTGCGCTCGGGTCTGTAGATTAAAGTTCTCAGGCGACGATACCTCGAAAATCTTGCAATTTTTAAATTATCGATTTTTCAGTTTCTTGATATTTTGATTTATCAATCCTTCGATTTTTCGACTTCTCAGCTATAGATTTCAAAAATTTTTGATTTTTCGATCTTCCAATTTCTCGATTTCTTATTTTTTTCTATTTCCCCATTTATCGAAATTTTGATGTTTCGATTTTTGATTGTTGATTTTTCGACCGTTCGATTTCTCAATTTTTCGACTCGTCGATTTTTTTAATTCTAAAGTTTTCAATTTTCCAATTCTTCAACTTTCAGCTTTTTGATTTTCCAATTATTCGATGTTATGAATTTTCAATTTTTCAATTTCCCAATTTTTCGTCACTTCAGTTTTGGAATTTTTCAATTCCTCGAGGGACGATTAATAATTAGAAAAATTACAATTTGAAAAATTAAGAAATAAACTAAAAGATCGAAAAATTGAAAAATCCAAAAATTTAAAGGCTGAAAAATCGAAAAAGTTGAAATTGAAAATTAAAAAAAATGCAAATCAAAAAATTAAAGGAACAAAGCGAGAGATCTATGGCCTGAAAAATCTAAAACTCGAAGAAACTAAAAATAAAAAATCAAAAAATTTAGAAACAGATAAATCGAAAACTTGCAGAATTCAAGAAACGAAACGTGAAAAAATGGAAAAATTCAGGGACGAAACAACAAAAAACTGAAAGAAGATGGAAAAATTCAAAAATAAAAAAGTTGAAAAAAAAAAATTTAAAAATTAAAACATTCAGAAGTTGAAAAACTGTAAAATTGTAACTTGAAAAGTAAACAAATGTAATTTGAAATATTAAAGAAACAAGAAAAGATCGAAAAATTGAAAAATTCAAAAACTGAGAAACGAAAAATTATAAAATCAAAAAATTTCAAATTGAAAGTTAAAAAAAAATGCAAATCAAAAAATTGAAGAAAGCAGAAACTGAGAGGCCGAAAAATTTTAAAATAATCGTTTTCACCTTTTGGAAAGTTTCTACATTTCCTAAAATCGCCAAAAGAGCATATGCCAATTTTTGCAAATATTAAAGATTTGATTTTGAAAATAATCTTGGTCCGGGACCATCAAAATTGACCAAATTTTTTAGTAGATTTGGGCAACTTTTCCAAAAATCCCATGTTTCAGTCAGATTTTATGAAATTTTTGTCTTTTTTCGAGCACCGTCGAAAATTATGTAAAGAAATTTTTACAGATGTCAACTACTTTAACGTTACATACATATCAAATTATAACTTTTTTTAAGTTCTGTTGTAATAACCTTCGACTAATTGTTTTTAGAGGTATCCACTATTTGGAAGTGTCCCGAACTACAAGTGAAAGAAGTTTTTTCTTAACAATGTCAAGTTATTCAAAAAATAATAAAAAAGTGATACCAATTATGTTTTTGTTTCATGCTTTTGATCTTCGCAAAAACATTTCCGACGATAGCCCAAAGTCGTGTCACAAGTTTATCAGTCGTTTTGTTTTGTAGACAATATTTGTATTAAAAAGTTATATAACATCGCAGGAAGTGTGATAATGAAGAGCTTTATCATAACTGGAATTATAATTTGTGGCCTTGTAGCTTATCAAAGTGGGTTCAACCTTTTAAAGCACATGATCAGAAACGCTTTTACACACCAAATCGCGGATGTTTGTCTTGGTACTAAGAAAAAAAATGAATTTTGAAAACGGGTCAGTGAACATCTTATTCGAAGATTCTTTTCAAGGTATTCTCAAGGTGGGTGGGTGGGGTTGGGTCAAATTAATCTCCGAAACTAGTGGATATTGTTAATATTATAAGTATGTGTATACTAAAGCTTTGATCAAGGGAAGATATGAGAGATAAGACAAAAAAACTCAGTCTCAGTTTTCTTTCCGAAATGATTTTTTTTACAAGCTTTGACTTTTAGATATTATCGACATTTTAAAAACATTAACAAAAACTACTTTAATTGGGCGAGATCATCGCAGGTCAAATCATCGTCATGTGTCACAAGATTATCATTTTTTTTTATTTGTATATATAACCCGACAACCTAGATGTAGTTCAGAGTGTTAAAAACATCCAAAGAAGTCATGAAGAGCTTCAAAACCACACTTATTTTTCTAATTGTTGAGTTATCCTTCGTGCTTCCAACTCCCAACAGTGCCGTCATAACTTGTTACCATTTAGTTGGCAATTCTTGGGAAAAAGCACAAGTGGTCGAAAACGCTTCAACACACCAAATCAAAGAAATTTGTAATGAAAGTGACGAACAGAAGCAATGTGTCGAAGTCAAAGGATCAGTGAAAATTCTGTACGAAGACTCCTTCAAGGGTATACCCAAATTATCTGAAATCGAAGTATATTCCGAAACGAACTTAGAAGAAATTGAGCCTGGAACCTTCACAGATCTGCCAAAGTTAGACATCTTAGATCTGAGTGGTAACAATTTGCAGGAAATTAAAAGTGGGACTTTTGTAAATCTGAAAGTTCAGCATTTGATCCTGCAGAGGAATTCGATTTCACTTCTTCGGGAAGGAGCGTTCGTGAATTTATCAGACGTTCAAAAATTAAGTCTTGAAAGGAATAATTTACAAGAACTAAAGCGAGGAGTTTTTCAAGAATTGTATGTGGTACAGCTCGAATTTGGGTCCAATAATATTTCTAAAATTGAGGTTGGAACGTTTGCTAGTGTGTTTCCACGAGATGAAGGTGGAATAATTTTAAATCTATCGAACAACAGTTTTACAGAAATTGATGCCTCTGTTTTTGATTACAAGTATTCCGTTTACGCTTTAATGTTGGCGAAGAATTCCATTTCTATCCTTCGCCCAGGTGACTTGCGTAATTTGCCTAACTTAAAATATGTACTACTGTCAGAAAACAAATTAAAGGAAGTTCCAGAGGGAGTTTTCAACGGTTCGAAAATCGTATCCATTGAACTGGACAACAACGAAATTTCTTTTATAGGAAGTAAAGCTTTCGACGACATGAAAGATTTAACATTTGTTAATATTAGTAACAACAAACTGAAAGAATGGAACAATGATTGGTTTTGTGGAGAAGGAGCAAAAGTAATTAGATTGTCCTACAATTATCTGGAGACAATTCCAGTAGAAGCTTTCACAAATATTCCAGGAGGTTCTATGTTAAAACTAGACCATAACCGTATCCAGAGTATTTCGGACAGTGCTTTCAAAAATGTGACATATCTGGACAGTATTGATTTGAGTTACAACGAAATCCAAGAATGGAATGTTGACCTTATGAGAAATGTGAAAACTGATGGAGCCGTTGATCTCAATGGTAACAAAATTAAGTGTCCTGAATCTGGTTCAAATTCTCTTGCTCCAAAAGCACGCATAGTTTATTTGAGCTATAGTTGTCCCCAAGTTATTGAGAAAGCATTATATTTCTCAGATGAAGTGTAACCTGTTTTTTGTTGTAATGTAATCTACCAAGGTGTTACAGAAAATTGTTGTTTAGGTTTTACGACGATAACCCAAAGTCGGGTGTCATAAGTTTATCAGTCATTTTGTTGTATATTAAAAAGTTGTATAATCATTATTATTTTTCTTTTCGTTAATTGATTTTTTGTTATGATATAAAAGTATATTTTTTAAGGAAACAAAAATTTAACAATTGTCAAAAATAAATCTTCTATGTCGGAATTCTTTTAAATCCGACGCCATTCCACGGACCCTTATTTTCCCTGCTTTCTTGTGGAGACTGGTTGCAGAAGCGAAATGGAACTTTTTGCCAAATATAGTTTCCAAAGCTTCAAGTTGACGAATGTACCGGTTTTGACTTCCTGTAAGGTTGTTGTGGCAAATCCTTGAAAGTTCCGGGCTCAATTTTGTCCAATCCTACCCGTGTTCAATTAATTCCGATTAAATTGAGTAAGTCTTTGGGTTTCGAGGACAACTGTCTTTCAATTATCTGCACCACTGTTTATGGTATAGGTTGAAGTTGTCACCAAGAAAGATAAGTTGTTACAGATTATAGCTGCACCGTCTACATGTTCATAAAAAACATTGTGCAAAAATTTATTTAAAAATAAGTATTAGGGATATAATGGGGTGAGCGAAAGGTTAGGTTAGGCATGTTATCATTCTTTTTAGTATAAAGAATAATATTATTCAATACATAAAGATAACAATATCTGCAACGTTAGCTAAATTGAAAAGCTGTGAAATTGATAGTTCCAAAGATTTCAAATCGAAAAACTGAAAAAGGAGGAATGGAAAAATAAAAAAAAATCAAAATTTTAAACTTTAAAAAATTTCATCATTGGAAAAATCATTGAACAACGAAAAACAAAAAACTGGAAATTGAGAAACGTAACAATTGAAAAGCGGCAAAAGAAGTTTACATTTCACTTGTAAATTTTTTAACAACTTGGTCTATGAAATAAAAAATGCAACTAATTTTCGTACGGTTAAAACCACATTAAAATTGTAATTTGTAATTCCATGTTTTGGTTTTTTTTGCAATATTTTGTTACTATATATTTGTTGTATTATTTTATTTTGACAATCCCTTCTTAAATATTTTCTGTATTTTCTGTATATTTTCTGAAGGTAAATAAAGTGTATTATTATTATTATTATTATTATTATTATTATTAAGAAATTGAACAAAAGCTGCAAAATTCAAACGTTGAAAATACTGAAAAATTGTAAAATTCAAAAACTGAAAAATCGAAAAATTTTTAAATTGAAACAAACGAAAAAATGAGTTACCTAAAAGCTGAAATTCTAAAAATTGTAAAATCGATAAACAAAAAAAAGCTGAAAAATTGGGAAATTGCTCAAACGAAAAATTGAACTAAGTATATGAAAGCTGCAAAAAGCGAATAAATCGAAAAACTTAAAATTGAAAACCAGAAAAATTGCAAATCAAAAATTGAAAAATTAAAAAAGAAATAACTGAGAAATCGTAAAACAGTCGAAACGAATAACTGAGCTCTCTAAAAGTTGAAAATTCTAACATTATTTGTAAAATCGAAAAACCGGAAAACGAGTTGAACAATCGAAAAATTGAAAATTTGAAAAATTTGAAATAGGAAAAAATTAAAAATCTAACGATGGAAATTTCGAAAATTTACTTAAAGCTGAAAAGTCTAAAAAATTGAAAAATTGAAAATTCTAGAGATTGCAAATCAAAAAAATCGGAAGTCAAAATATTGAGAAAATAAACTGGGAAATTTGATGATTGAAAATCTGAAAAGTTGCAAAATCGAAAAAGTGAGAAATTCTAATACTGAAACAAAGAGGAATTTAAAGTTTAAAAATTGAAAAAATCGAAAAATTAAACATCTAATTGAAAAACTAGAAAATTTCAAAATTCAAAAATCGAAAACTTCAGTAAAAATTAAAAAATCTGAAAATTGGAAGTTTGAAAAATCTAATTGGAAAATCTAAACATTGTAAAATTCAAAAGGTGAAAATGGAAAAATTAAACTCGACAAGCTAAAAATTGTAAAACTGAAAAAATGGAAAATTGAATCCGAACAATGCAAAAAGGAAAAAACTGAAAATTTTAAAAGTTGAAAAATCGAAATAATTGAAAACTGGAAAAATTGTCGATCGATAAACTGAAGACACGGAACAAGGAAGTTCGAAAACTTGAAAAATCGTAAAATAGAAAAATCGAATAAGTAATTGAACATCGAAAAATGAAAAAATCGAGTTTTTTGAAAAACCTAATGCTTGAAGCATTGAAAAATTAGAAATTGATAAATAAAATAGATAATTGAAAATTTAGAAGTTAAAAAAACGAAAAAATAATAAAGAATTTTTAATATAAAACCGGAAAAATATCAAAAATGAGAAAAGTTAAAAGTCGAGAAACTGAAAAATAGTTCAAACGAAAAATGCGCTACCTAAAAGCTGAAAATTCCGAAAATTGTAAAGCCAAAAATTTAAAAATTTGAAATCCTAAATATCAAAAAATTGAGAAGTTGACTGTAAATCAAAAAACTGGAGAAACGAAAAACTGAACAATCTACACACTGAAATTCTAAAAATTCTAAAAACCCAAACATTAAAAATCTGATGATTGAAATTTCAAAAAATGTAACTTCGAAAGGATTTAAAAAAATCGAAAAATTGGAAAATCGAATAAATGAACAATTTAAAAGTGAAAATACCAAAAATCTAAAAGTTCAGAAATTATAAATCTAATAATAATTAAAAAAAAACTTAAAACATGCAAGCGCTGAAAAACCTAAAAATTTTCGATTAAAATCTTGAAAAGTCTAAAAATATGAAAACTGAAAAATTGAAAAAAAAACAAAAGATAAAAACATGCAAACTGGAAAATCAAAATATTGAAAAATGAAACTGGACAGTCTAACTTAAAAACCGAAAATCTACAAAATTAAAAATTTGTAACATCGAAAGTTACAAGTTCGTGATATTGAAACATCTAGTTGAAAAATTGGAAAATTCATTGAAGCAATAAAATTGGAGAAATTTGAAATTAGAAAGTTGAAACATTAAAGTAATTAAATTAATCTGATAAATGTAAATTCAAAAATTCAAAAGATGAAAACTGAAAAATTAAAATCGAGAAGCTGAAAAGTCGTAAAATTTAAAAAAGGAAAAACTACAAACCGAGGTATTGACGCAGCGAAAAAATTGAACAATTTAAAAGTTGAAAAACCTAAAGATTGCAAAATTCAAAAGTTGAAGAGACGAAAAAATTGAAAAACTTAGAACTGAAGACCAGAAAAATCAAAGAATTTGAGAAATGAAAATTTTAAAAGTAAAAAAACCGAAAAATTGGAAACTCAAGAAATGACAAATCGAAAAACTGAAGAAAAGAAAATTGAAAAATCGAAAAATTGGAACTTTGATAAATTGAACAATCGAAAAACTGAAAAAAACAAAATTCTGCAAAATCGAATACTTGCAATATTGAAACATCGAAAATATTCATAAGCTGAAAAACCAGAAAGTTGAAAATTGAAAACTAAGAAAATTGCAAAGAAACTGAAAAATCGTAAAATTGGTCAAACGAAAATGTAGAACTATCCAAAAGAGGAAAAATATAAAAATTGCACAATAATTTGAAAGTATAAAAATTAAGAATTCGAGAAACGAGAAAGTTAAAAACTGAAAACTAGAAATACTGCAGATCAAAAAATTAATAAAATTAAAATCGGGCAACTGAAAAGGATCGAAAACACTGAATATTGCAAAAGTTGAAAATCAAAACATTTAAAACTCCAGAGACCAGAAATTGAAGAACTGAAAAAACACAAAATCAAAAAATCCAGAAATTGAATAAATGAAAAGCAGAACATCTGAAAGCTGAAAAATAGGAAAATTGAAGCTCGACATATTGAAAATCCTGCACATATATTAATAATTTTAGTTCACCATTAAAGAAATCAAAGTTAAATTTTATAATTTTTCGAAACTGTTTTTTACGGACGCAGGAAATTCCTTCGAGATAACCTTTGACCATTTTAAAGCACTGATAACAGAAAAAGTGGAGTTACGGTGATCGAAGTCTGATTTTTTCGAAAAAATATGTCAAAGTTGTGTGATACATAAGGATATTTTTAGGGAAACGAAATCATCAGTATTTTATAGATTTATAAAGTATTTTCACCGCTGTTTATTAATACATTGTTCGAAAGCCCATATTTTACTCAACATTTATCAAAAATAAATCCTTGATTTCGGAGTTGTTGTATACCCGACTCAATCTCAGAACAACTGATATTATTACCTCGAAGATCGACATTTTCTTGTATCATTACTTTCTCCAAGAACTCGATTTTCCATTTCCTTATTTTATTATAACTTAAGTCCAGAGACCTTAACCGTTTCAGACCAGCGAAAGCACCGTCAGAAATATTTCTGATTTGGTTATGAGCTAAGTCCACCGCAGTATATTCCTGAACCTCCACAAAACTTCCCTCAGGAATTGTCTCAATATAGTTATTAGAAGCAAAAATTTTGATCATTGACAACCCACGAAACCATCTACTATCCCACTCTTTCAGCTGATTATGGTGAATCCTAATATACCATAAACCTTTCATACCATCTAACGCTCCATTTGCGATCACAGAAATCTGGTTGTGACTCAAATCTAGAATCACTATTTTAGAAGCGTTAAAAACTCCTTCAGGAACTTCCTTGAGTCTGTTTCTAGTCAGGTTAAGCCTAGTCAAATTCGGTAAATTATTCAAATCGCCTGGGTGAAGTATCGAGATAGAGTTGTTACCTAAATTTACATGATCTATGTCTTTGTTATCAAAAACCTGTGGATCTAATCTTTCAATTTTGTTGTCTGATAAGGACAAACTTATTCCCTCTTCGTTCTTCGGGTGCAAGCTTGCAAAAACTCCAGGTTCTAGTCTTGAAATGCCATTTTGGTCCAAACTCAAACGCGTAAGAGAAACATCCTGAAACACTCCTTTTGCGATTTTCGTTAATCTATTTTCTTCAAGAGCCAGTTGGTAAAGTGACAGGTTTTGGAAGACACCTGGTTGCAAAACCGAAATGAAATTTCTTCGAAGACTGAGAAACGAAACGTTCAAGTTAACAAAGGTACCGGTTTTAAGTGTCTTCAATTTATTTTCTTGAATTATCAAATCCATGAGTGGCGACAAATCCTTGAAAGTCCCGGGCTGGATTTTCTCTAATCCCACCTTTACTAAGTCGATTTTGAATAAATTAGTTATGTTCTTGACGGAATCTTCGTACAGGGTTTTGATTGTCCCTCGTATTTCGATAGTTTTCTTTTCGGTGGAATTTCGAGGACAACTGTCTTTGATTTTATCTGCACCCCCGGTTACGGTGAATGTGGCTATAATCCGTCGAGCAGACCAAAGTCGACAGGTTGTAGTCGCACTGTTTTCATGGTTACACAGAGTTAACGTTAAAACCAACGAAAAACACACGAAAACAATTTTATTCGAGAAGCACTTCATGATGGTTCAACGTTTTGTGAGACTCTTACTAACTTATTTATTTAAAAATGTCAGCGATATGAGTCTGACGCAAACGAAACGTTGGGTTATCAATTATCTCTGGTAGTTCACAATTTAAACCAAAACACTTTTAATATACCGTGCGTTCATTAATTATTTAGATCTGATTGTCCGCGTTGGTGTTTGAAACCTCAAACTTTCGAGTTTTTTTTTTTTTAAGTGCAAAATGGTTTTCTCTGTGGAACATAAAACATTCATGATTTCATGAAGTTATTATTTCACTAGTTTTTCTAGTTTTCAATAAGCAAGAGCTAACCTTAGTTTGAAAATTGATTCACGTCACTATGCAACCAAGATTACGCATGTGTTTGTTTAATTGCATAATCTGCATTCTTCCACCTAAATAATTAATGAACACACGGTACAAAGTGTTCATCTAGTGGCGTATGGATTTTCCATGCAAATTAAAAAATACTGTTTCACGAAGATCATATTGGAAAATAATTGCAATTATAATTGTTGGTTGCATAACTACAAAAGATTTTTGAAAAGTGATTAGCTAATGGTGTAAGTATCGCTGGGGAAACAAAGCGGACTCAATGTCTGTTTAATTTTTCTCTTTGTTGTTGTGATAACCCAAACATCCCACCTTCAATTGACATGGAAAAAAATGAAAGCGCGCGAAAAATTTAAAAGTGTCCTGACTATAAGTGTATTTCATGAAATCTTCTAGTAAATGTCTGTTAAATAAATTGTGTTAGCACCGGTTAACGATTAAAATCCTAACATGAACTGTGAATTCACAAACAATGAATCAAATTTACATGGGGTGGCGTCGGTCGAAAAATCGCATTTTACCGATTAAAAAGGCGCAAAAATTAGCTGCGCGTGTTGGGGAAAACTGGGCGCCATCGTTACGATTAATTTTCGTTAAACAAAGGCTTCCTCCCTTTCATTAACTACCAAACCAGTTAAGCTAACAAAGCTACCTTACCACGTATTAGCTCACCACTGACTTCATAATAAAATTATCTTTAATCTATATCTAGATATTTTTTTTCATTTTTACGTTTACCTGTGTCTGGATAAATCCAGTATTTCCTATTCTCAACACTGATATTAAAAATAAGAATAAAGTGAAAGTGGTGTATAAGGAATTTCTTTAGGAAAATGAAATCTTTATTTCTAAAATTATTACACTATTTATACTTAACAATGATCAAACATAAATCCTTTATCTAGGAGCTCTTGTAAATCCAACCCCAAATCAGTACAATTAATTTTATTACCCCGAAGATCTACATTATCTCCTATCACTACATTCTTCATGAAATCGATTTTCCACTCACTTATTTCATTATAGCTCAAGTCCAGAGACTTCAATCTTTCTAGACCAGTGAAAGCACAGTCAGAAATATTTCTGATTTGATTATGGGCTAGCTCCACCTTACTATCTTTCCCGAATGCCACAAAACTTCCGGCATGAATTACCTCAATATAGTTGTAAGAAGCATTAAATTTGATCAGCGATAACCCACGAAACCATCCATCATCCCACTCTTTCAACTGGTTATGCTGAATTTCAAAGAACCTCAATTCTGTCATACCATCTAACGCTCCATTTGCGATCACTGAAATCCGGTTGTGGCTCAAATCTAAAGTTGATATTTTGGAAGCGTTGAAAACTCCTTCGGGAACTTGTGTGAGTCTGTTTCTAGACAGATGTAGCAAATGCAGTTTTGGTAAATTATTCAAATCGCCTGGCCGAAGATTCGAAATAGAATTATTATTTAAAAATAAAGCATATATGTGTTCGTTATCAAAAATCTGTGGATGTAATCTTTTAATGCAATTGTGTGATAAATACAAATAAACCCCTGAACTGCTCTTTGTACCCAAGTTTGCAAAAACTCCACGTTCTAGTTTCGAAATGCCATTATTTTCCAAACGCAAAATCCAAGCGTACACATTCTGAAACACCCCTTTTCGGATCTTTCTTAACTTGTTTGCGTCAAGATCAAAATCAAAAACTGTCACGTTTTGGAATGTGCCTGGTTCCAAATCCGAAATGAAATTTTTGCAAAGGATGAGGAACGTCATGTCCAAGTTGACGAAGGTACCGGTTTTAAGTTTCGGCAAGTTATTTTGATCAGCGTAGAAAGTTTGGAGTCGTGACAAATTCTTGAAAGTGCCGGGCTGAATCTCCTCCAATCCTACCATTGTTAGATCGAGCCGGCCTAAATTTTGAAAGTCTTTGACAGAATCTTCGTACAGAATTTTCATTGTCCCTTGTACCTCAATCCATTTCAGTTCGGTTGCAGATTCAGGACAGCGATTTTTGATTTTATGTGCACCCATCTGCATGGTATAGGTTGACATGATCCCCCAATTAGACACATAGCGACAGGTTATGTTCACTGTGTGTTGCTGATCACAAAGAGTAAGCGCAAAAACCAACGAAAAACACAGGAAAACAATTTTATTAGGAACGTACTTCATGATTGTTCAACGTTTTGTGAAACTATTACCAAAGAACTTATTGATTTAAATGTATACGCGACACGATAGTCTGACCCAACCGTTGGGTTATCTATCACTTATCACTATTATATAGCTCGTAGTTCGTAGTATAAACCAAAACTATCGTCTAGATAATTAACCACATAATTTATTAAACCAAATCTACCAAACTGTTATTTAAGAAACAAGGAACTAAAATCCGAAATACCTTTATTAGTTCGTAACATGCAGCCTGTGTCACAAGAATTTAATTGTTGTCAAAATTTCTTTTTTAGCGAGGTATTGACGGGATTGCACATTTTTCATGTATCGTTTTGTACCTGTTTTTACGAACAAAAATTGGACTCGGTACAATATATTATTATCGTAACTGCAATTAATTTAAATACACTGGATTTGCTTGAGACATGCGGAATAATAATTGACTCTTGTTTCAACAAAAACAATACTTTTTTTGTAAACAAGAATTCCGTGAAATTTGTCTACGATACTTTAAAGTCGAATTCAAACGCCATCCTAATCAAGAAATTTGCACAATATTCATATTCATTTGAAATTAACTTTACATATTTTCTAAAGTAAGTTGCCCTTAAAAAAATCTAATTTTTATTCCTTGACAATTTTATAAGACTGCAGCTTCTGTTTTTTTGATGAAAATTGTTCAACTACTAGCTAATTATTAAAGTGTGTGTCATTTAGTTGTTCTTGGAGCATACAATGCACAGTTTGGTTGATTGTTAATTTTACTTCTGTGCCATGTACAAAATTTCGCAATAGTAATTCAGTAATAATATAAATATGCTTCTTCTTTAAACGATGCCACCGAATTCTTTGACAACTTTTTATCTTTTATTACTCCACAGTACGATAATATATTTAATAACTGGCGACCTGAATGAAGATTTTCATTTCAATAATAAGCTAAATGATTGTTTTGTTGCCTATGGTTTTCAACAAATTATCTCTGAAAGTACCAGAGTTACGCGAAATTCTGAGACGTTGATCGATCCTATTTTTATCAATAATAATGCATTATTTCGTAGAAGTGGAGTTATAAATGCTGATCTAATATCTGATCATCGTCTAGCCTTTTGCATATTAGACATAAATATTCCTAAAATGACTCCTAAATATACTACATACAGAGACTTTAAAAACTTTTTGCATGATAAATTTATGTTAGACTTAAATAAAAAATCTTTGGATAACATTTATTACATCCTCAATATTGAAGATAAAATCAGGTACCTTAACACAACTGTGTTAGAATTATTTGACTATCACGCTCCGTTCAAAACCTCGTTCATTTCAAAGCCCTATGCACCTTGGCTCACCCCTTCTATTAAAGAATTTATGAAACAAAGAAATCGAGCATTAAGTTTATATAAGCAAACTAAATCTGCTCAGCACTGGCTATTTTATAAGCAGCTAAGAAATTCTACGGTTGCTGCATTGAAACGGGAAAAAAAAGCGTACTTAGATTATGAAAGTAATACTTCAAACAAAAAAAGACTATGGGTTGCACTAAAAAAGTTAAATATTCAAAAAAAAGTTAAAGGATGTGATCTATCTACATTCAGTGCTGATGAAATAAATGAATATTTTTTGTCAGTATTCACTCCTCCCCAAAACTGTGTTGAAGCTGTTAATAACATAAAAGGTATCAAATATAAACCAAATAGTAACTTTAAATTTTCATTGGCCACTGAGGAGGAAGTGTTTCAAATCATAAATAGCTTAAAATCTAATGCTATGGGTATTGATGGTATCTCTGCTTACATGATTAAATTATGTTGCCCTAATATAGTTCAGCCAATTACTCACATTATTAATTGCTGTCTGGAGACTGGATACTTTCCAGAATTATGGAAAGTGGCTTTAATTCATTCTATTCCCAAAATCGACGAGGTAAACTCTCCAGAAGACCTAAGACCAATAAGTATTCTTCCAACATTATCTAAAGTCTTAGAAAAATGTATCTATAATCAAATCTTTAATTTTATAGTAAAAGAAGAGATATTATCTGAAGATCAATCTGGTTTTCGCAAGGGATATAGCACAACAACAGCTCTAGCTTCTGTTATCGATGATTGCCTGATTGAACTTGACAAAAGCCACGCAAGTATTGTAACTCTTTTAGATTATTCAAAAGCTTTTGATACTTTGGACCACCAACTCCTCTGCACAAAATTGGAATATTATGGGTTCGATCAAATTTCTGTTTCGTTTTTTAAATCATATTTACAAAATCGACATCAACAAGTTGTAACCGAGTCTGGTAAATCTAAAATTGGCTTAATAACATCAGGCGTACCGCAAGGCTCGGTCTTAGGCCCAATTCTTTTTACTATATATACTTCCCAATTGTTGCAGATACCTTCAGTATGTAAAAAGAGAGCCTTTGCAGATGACACCCAAATGCAGCATCATTTCCTACCTAACGAAGTTGATATAGCATCTAACCATATAAATAATGACTTACAAAATATAGCAAATGTTTCATCTGATATTAACCTCCAACTGAATATAAATAAATGCAAAGTTATTTGCTTCGCTCCCCGAAAATTTAAAAATGTTGTTTTTGACAATATTAATGTTAAATTTGATAATATAAAACTACCAGTTTTACATACTATAAGAAATTTGGGATTGGTGATTGATGACGATTTTCGTTTTAAGACCCATATTTCTAACATTATTAAAAAATCTTATGTAGCCTTGAAACTTCTTTATTCAAATTACCTTTTACTCAATTTTAAATTGAGGAAGAAATTATGTGAGTCTCTTGTCTTGTCATATATAAATTATTGCCTAGTAATATATTACCCATGTCTTGACAGTATTGATAAATACCGTCTTCAAAAAATCCAAAATAATTGTTGTCGTTTCATTTTTGGTTTGAGGAAATTTGATCATGTGTCTCAGAAAATCTGTGAGCTTGGTTGGATGAAAATTGACAAATTGTTTCAGTATCACCTATCTATCTTTGCTTTCAAGTTATTTTCCTCTAACTCTCCGCCGTACTTGCGTTGTAAATTTCATACAAGAAAAAGTATGTTAAACTCAAGTCTCCCATTAAGGAATCTTAAAGAACTGTCAATGCCAAAGCATTATACGTCTATCTTTCAGAGATCTTTCACGTACAATATTATCAAAGTTTACAATAAATTTTTATTAGAGTTTAATTCAAGTTCTTCCATCAATTGTTTTAGGAAAAAAATTAAAAAATGCTTGATTAATACTTAGGTTTAAGTTTATTATTGTGGTTCTCTTGCTTGTTGTTAACTTTTTGTTATTATTATTATTATTATTATTATTTGTATAAATTTAGTTTCTAATTATGGATTATTTAATTTAATTTAATTTAATTTAGATTTAATTAGTTTAAATTATTTAATTTGATCATTACCTAGCTGACTCCTGTCTAGATATTTAATCCGTTTTTCTGTACAAACTGTTTGGTTAGTTTTATTTTCTTGTAAATCTAAGGTTAAGTGGAATAGCCTATGGCTAGACTTCGCCTATTATTATTTAATAAAGTCCTATTATTATTATTATTATTATTAATATTATTATTATAATTCAACAATTTTCCAAAATTAATTAGTAAGAACTTAATACAAGCATACTCGTAGATCAAAATATTAATTATATATGAATATAATTTAAAAATATAATTATTTCATCGTTTATTACCCCAAATTATTGTTTAAATGTCTAAAAAAAATATATTATCCCTTCACGATCTTTATATAGTAGGGTTGGCCATGAAAACTTAATGAGTTTGTTGGTATTCAATGCAGAGGAATAAAAATTCCCTGAACTTTTTTCATTAGGTTATGTTTTATTAAACTAAAGGTTAAAAAATATGCCAGAAATATAAACATTGTTTCCGATACTTTCAGTAGTAGCAATGACCAAGTTAACGGTATACATTTCTTAGAAAGCATAAAACTTTACGCTATTTAAAACAGTTATTCGGCTCTTTGTAAGTGTTTATTTCATATGTAAGGAACAAACACTAAAATTTCCTTAAACATTGTTTTTATATGAATGGGGGTTCTACATACGACTATTGTCGCATGCCACATTTAGCTTAACATCTTTAATTCTCAATCATCAGTTCGTTCTGCTCCCCCACTCTTCTTAGAAATGGAAATTTCGACCTTTGTGAACAGCCTTTTTCCATATCTTCCAATTTGTTTTTTCACTTTTCTCAGATTATTAAAAGGGTTGGTAAAAGACGACAACCTTGCTCTAGTGCTTTGATGGGTTTAGCTCTTCTGAAACATTTTTCCGGCCTTAAATTGAATGATTTATCTATATAGCTATTACTAATGCTTACGTAAGTGCTCTTTATTTGCTTTTACTAAGTACTTCCAATCGCTTATTAATAAGAACGTTACTATACGCCTTCTCTCTAAAATTATACTTATTTTGTTGTACGTCAGGTAGTTTTTCACATACTACCTTGGTAAATTTAAAACGAAAGATGCGTAAAAATATCACCCCCCGACAAGCTACAATTCACTCCATTTCCATTATTTCGCTATGAAAATTTGTATCATCACCGTCATTTTCTAATTCAGCTTCTGAATCAGATTCACCTAGCGAAATAATGAAAGGAGGTACAGATTCGTACGAAAGATTTCCCATATTTTTTCCCAATCTGCTAAAATTAGTTTTTACAATGTTTACAAAAATTTTGCCAAATGCTTGGAGTACATTTAGAAAGCGCCTCAAGCCATAAATTCTCCACCCTATTTTTTAATGAAGGTTAAGAATTTATATGCTTGTTGTAATTGTTCTTACAAAATCCCCACGCCATTTCAATTGGATTATATTAACAATGGTACGGAGGTAATCTAAGAACTTCATGTCCACTTTCTCTTAATATCTCGTCTACCAAATACCTTTTTTTTTCTATTGTTTCTGAAGGGTTTAATTAAATCCTACAACTGTTTCTTCGAAAATTTTTTGTCAAATTCAACACTATGTTTATAAAGCCATTCCTAAATTTCACATTTTTTACTAGAAAAAGTGGGTGGTTTATCCAACTGAATCGAATGATACGGTGCATTGTCTAAAACCACCACACATTTTTGGTTCAACTTTGCCAAAGCAGGAATGAGCTGATTAACCACCCAATTTTGAAAAATTGTCCCGTCCATCGTTTTATGATAGTCTCTATCGTTATTTTTTGAATTTAAAAAATTGTTACAACCATCCAACAACCCCGTTGAACAACCCGCGTGGAGAACAGTAAACCTTGATCCTTCACTTTTAATTTTGGTGGAGTTGCTTTTTAAATCAGTACCGTGCACCCAGCGACGAATGGATGAACCATTTTGATAGGTCCATGTTTCATCCAAATACACGAAAGTCAAATTTTCACAAGAATTTATAAACTGTAAATATGTTCTCAAAAAAGTAATTTTGGCTGCAACGACATGTTTTTGTTCACATAGAATTTTGCGACCATTTACTTTCCTGTGTTTATAACCCATTGACATAAGAATTTATTCCTGTTGTTCCTACAGTATCTACATCTAAATTGCCAACATAAATACAGAATAACTTTTCAGCAACTTTGAAAGAAAGAGTATCAGAAGTGCCATTTTACCTCTGGTGAACTTAGTCCTCTGTTCTTATAAACAACATTCTTAAATTCGTCATATTCAACATTTCCGCGATTTTCTCTATTGGTCTCTCTCACCACTGATATTGCCTTTATTCATGTTACAATAATATTTAGAAAATATCTAGATATTTTTTTTTATTTTTATGTCTACTTGTATCTGGATAAATCCAATGTTTTTTATTATTAGTTAATAAGAATAAAATGAAATTGGTGTGATGTATAAAGAATTTTTTTAAGAAAATGAAACCTTTATTTGTAATTACACTATTTACAAAATATGTTCCTCGTTGTTTATTAACACATCCATCAATCAGCGTACATATATTACTTAACAATTATCAAATAGAAAACCTTTATCAAGTAGTTCTTCTAAATCCGACCCCAAATCAGTACAATTAATTTTATTACCCCGAAGATCTACATTATCCCTTATCGTTACATTCTTCATGAAATCGATTTTCCACTCACTTATTTCATTATAACTTAAGTTCAAAGAATTCAGTTTTTCCAAACCAGCGAAAGCACCATCAGAAATATTCCTGATTTGATTATGAGCCAGTTCCACTGCACTACCTTCCGGAAAGTCCATAAAACTTCCGGCACGAATCACCTCAATATTGTTATAAGAAGCAGAAATTCGTAACAATGGTATCCCACGCAGCCACCTACTATCCCACTCTTTCAACTCGTTGTAGTCAACTCTAATAAACCATATACGTGTCATACCATCAAAAGCTTCATTTGCGATCACAGAAATCCGGTTGTGGGTCAAATCTAAAGTTGATATTTTGGAAGCGTTGAAAACTCCTTCGGGGACTTCTTTGATTCTGTTTCTCGATAGGTATAGCCGACTCAAATTCGGTAAATTATTCAAATCCCCTGACCGAAGGATCGAGATAGAATTATTATTTAAAATTAATTCGTCTATGTTTTCGTTATCAAAAACCTGTGGATCTAACCTTTCAATGCAATTGTTTGATAACTGCAAACTGACTCCCCATTTGCTTTTTGGGTACAAGCTTCCAAAAACTCCAGGCTCTAGCCTGGAAATGCAATTTTTCTTCAGATACAAATTCTTAAGAGACACATTTTGAAATACTCCTTTTTGGATTTCCGTCAACCTGTTTTCTCGAAGGTCCAGGTCTGCGCTTGACAGATTTTGGAAGGCGCCTGGTTGCAGAACCGAAATGGAATTTCCTGAAAGATCGAGGAACGAAACTTCTAAATTCACGAAGGTGCCGGCTTTGATTTTCGTCAAATTATTATCTCCAAGATACAGAGTCTTCAGTGGTGGCAAATCCTTGAAAGTTCCGGGCTCAATTTTCTCCAATCCCACCTTTGGTAACTCGATCCTGAATAAATTGGGAATGGCTTTGACAGAATTTTCGTGCAGAAATTTTATTTTCCCTTTTACGATAATCCATTTCTGGTCAGTCGAATTTCGGGGACAACTGTCTTTGATTTTATTTGCACCACCCGTTATGGTAATTTTGGACGGCCTGAGCCTGGAATACAAAAGGAAACAGGTTATATTCGCACTGTCTTCTTGATCGCACAGAATAAACACAAAAAACAACGAAAAATATACGAAAACAACAAATTTATTGGATATACACTGCATGATTGTTCAACGTTCTGTGAAATTCTTACCAATGAACTTGTTTATTTAAAAATATCAACGATATGATGGTCTGACACAAAGGTTGGGTTATCAGTTATCATTCGCAGTTCGCACTATAAATTAAAACATTTTTCAATATGAAAACGAAGTCAATTTGCATGTTTAACTTTCAGTACACTTTTGGGCAAATAACAAAAAAAGATTTTTCTCTCCTACTGTCACAAATGTAGGTATGACATTGTTTAACCGTCAATGGTCCCACCTTCTTCAAATTTCGGCCAATTTTTGAAAATTTCGAAACTCAACTAAATTCATTTTCTTGTAGATTTCGAGCTCTAGAACTCACTTCCGGCATCGTTTCTTTGATAAGTGCAACCGGTTTTCCAGAATCGACCGTTGAAATATCGAAATTTTCAGAAATTTTCAAAAATTTGAATTTCGTACCGATTCTTTCGTAAATGTTGTTCCGTGACCATCCACATACTATATTTTTCGAATCAGCAAATAGAGATCTACGTCGCTGAATTTTTTCACAATTTTTAGACAACTTTTTTAAAAGTGACATTTTTTTCTTCAAATTTCGGCCAATTTTTGAAATTTTCGAAACTCAACTAAATTCATTTTCTTGTAAATTTCGAGCTCTAGAACTCACTTCCGGCTTCGTTTCTTTGATAAGTCCAACCGTTTTTCCAGAATCGACCGTTGAAATATCGAAATTTTTAGAAATTTTCGAAAATTCGCATTTCGTACCGATTTTTTCGTAAATGTTGTTCCGTGATCATCAACATACTATATTTTTGAAATCAGCAAATCGAGATCTACTTCCCTGAATTTTTTCACAATTTTTTGACAACTTTTTTAAAAGTGAAATTTTTTCAATGGTCCCCCCTTCTTCAAATTTCAGCCAATTTTTGACATTTTCGAAACTCAACTAAATTCATTTTCTTGTAGATTTCGACCTCGAGAACTCACTTCCGGCTTCGTTTCATTGATAAGTCCAACCGTTTTTCCAGAATCGACCGTTGAAATATCGAAATTTTTAGAAATTTTCAAAAATTCGCATTTCATACCGATTCTTTCGAAAATGTTGTTCCGTGACCATCAACATACTACATTTTTGGAATCAGCATCTCGAGATCTACGCCCCTGAATGTTTTCGCAATTTTTAGACAAGTTTTTTAAAAGTGAAATTTTTTGAATGGTCCCCACTTCTTCAAATTCTGGCCAATTTTTGACATTTTCGAAACTTTACTAAATAAATTTTCTTGTAGAATTCGGACTCTATAACTTACTTCCGGCATCGTTTCTTTGATAAGTGCAACCGTTTTTCTAGAATCGACCGTTGAAATTACGAAATTTTTAGAAATTTTCAAAAATTCGCATTTCGTACCGATTCTTTCGTAAATGTCGTTCCGTGACCATCCACATACTATATTTTTCGAATCAGCAAATAGAGATCTACGTCGCTGAATTTTTTCACAATTTTTAGACAACTTTTTTAAAAGTGACATTTTTTTCTTCAAATTTCGGCCAATATTTGAAATTTTCGAAACTCAACTAAATTCATTTTCTTGTAAATTTCGAGCTCTAGAACTCACTTCCGGCATCGTTTCTTTGATAAGTGCAACCGTTTTTCCAGAATCGACCGTTGAAATATCGAAATTTTTAGAAATTTTCAAAAATTCGCATTTCGTATCGATTCTTTCGTAAATGTTGTTCCGTAACCATCAACATACTATATTTTTGGAATCAGCAATTCGAGATCTACGTCCCTGATTTTTTTCACAATTTTTTGACAACTTTTTTAAAAGTGAAATTTTTTCAATGGTCCCCCCTTCTTCAAATTTCGGCCAGTTTTTGACATTTTCGAAACTTTACTAAATACATTTTCTTGTAGATTTCGAGCTCTGAAACTCACTTCGGGCCTCACTTCTTGGATAACTGCAGCCGTTTTTCCAAAATCGACCGTTGAAATATCGAAATTTTTAGAAATTTTCAAAAATTCGCATTTCGTACCGATTCTTTCGTAAATGTTTTTCCGTGACCATCAACATACTATATTTTTGGAATCAGCATGTCGAGATCTACATCCCTGAATTTTTTTACAATTTTTTGACAACTTTTTTAAAAGTGAAATTTTTTCAATGGTCCCCCCTTATTCAAATTTCGGCCAATTTTTGAAATTTTCGAAACTCAACTAAATTCATTTTCTTGTAGATTTCGAGCTCTAGAACTCACTTCCGGCATCGTTTCTTTGATAAGTGCAACCGTTTTTCCAGAATCGACCGTTGAAATATCGAAATTTTTAGAAATTTTCAAAAATTCGCATTTCGTGCCGACTCTTTCGTAAATGTTGTTCCGTGACCATCCACATACTATATTTTTGGAATCAGCATGTCGAAATCTACGTCCCTGAATTTTTTCACAATTTTTTGACAACTTTTTTAAAACTGAAATTTTTTCAATGGTCCCCCCTTCTTCAAATTTCGGCCAATTTTTGAAATTTTCGAAACTCAACTAAATTCATTTTCTTGTAGATTTCGAGCTCTAGAAGTCACTTCCGGCATCGTTTCTTTGATAAGTGCAACCGTTTTTCCAGAATCGACCGTTGAAATATCGAAATTTTTAGAAATTTTCAAAAATTCGCATTTCGTACCGATTCTTTCGTAAATGTTGTTCCGTAACCATCAACATACTATATTTTTGGAATCAGCATGTCGAAATCTACGTCCCTGAATTTTTTCACAATTTTTTGACAACTTTTTTAAAACTGAAATTTTTTCAATGGTCCCCCCTTCTTCAAATTTCGGCCAGTTTTTGACATTTTCGAAACTTTACTAAATACATTTTCTTGTAGATTTCGAGCTCTGAAACTCACTTCGGGCCTCACTTCTTGGATAACTGCAGCCGTTTTTCCAAAATCGACCGTTGAAATATCGAAATTTTTAGAAATTTTCAAAAATTCGCATTTCGTACCGATTCTTTCGTAAATGTTTTTCCGTGACCATCAACATACTATATTTTTGGAATCAGCATGTCGAGATCTACATCCCTGAATTTTTTCACAATTTTTTGACAACTTTTTTAAAAGTGAAATTTTTTCAATGGTCCCCCCTTATTCAAATTTCGGCCAATTTTTGAAATTTTCGAAACTCAACTAAATTCATTTTCTTGTAGATTTCGAGCTCTAGAACTCACTTCCGGCATCGTTTCTTTGATAAGTGCAACCGTTTTTCCAGAATCGACCGTTGAAATATCGAAATTTTTAGAAATTTTCAAAAATTCGCATTTCGTACCGACTCTTTCGTAAATGTTGTTCTGTGACCATCAACATACTATATTTTTGGAATCAGCAAATTGAGATCTACGTCCCTGGATTTTTTCACAATTTTTTGACAACTTTTTTAAAAGTGAAATTTTTTCAATTTCTCTTCTTCAAATTTCGGACAATTTTTGAAATTTTCGAAACTCAACTAAATTCATTTGCTTGTAGATTTCGAACTCTAGAACCCAATTCATGATTATTCAAGGCTTTGTGCGACCCAAACCAAAGAATTTTTTCTAACGATTTTTAGCGGTAGTTTAGAACCTTTTTTGGGTAACAAACAATCTTCTTGTGGATCAACCAGCTGCTAAATTTGAATTCTAAGTAAATTTTATTCAATTTCATTAGGGTTTGAAAGACTATAAATTTACCTGCGAAATAAACAAATCGAGGTAAATTCTGACTGATTAAAAATATTTAGTAGGAACTGTTTTGCCGGGTTTTCTCTAAATTTTATTAATTTTTTAATAAAAACAAATAATGTTCGATATTTTCTTAAGACATCTTATTTACTGTATTATAAATAGTTCAAAGCAATAAATAACCCCAATTTTGTAACTCCATGAATTGAAATAAAATTTTATTCCACCTCAGTTTTTATTTTAGACCCTCGCGAGTTCAGTTCAGTTCAGCGTTTTCACTGAACTGAATGAAGGCCCTAAACCAGAGGAGTTTTCACTCAGTCAAGCTGTGAAATTTATATCAGAAAACCACACAAATTTAAATTGAATATAAAAGTTAAATATACAAATGAAAGTAACCAGCGTGTTTAAATTTCTGACGCTGTAAATTTTAATAATTTATGGAGTTTCTCGAGTTTTTTCCATGAAAAATATATATTTTTAAGGACTTAAGCCGAATTATGGGCCGATGATATGGTTTATATTTTGGTTCTCCTAGAAATTTGTTTATTTGGAATTCAAATTTTTCTACTAAATTTTGCATTTTTTAAAATCTTTTTAATACTAACAGAGAACAAGAAATCATAAAAAAGAAAATATGCTAAGGAAGTATTGTAATCCAGTCCATCTGGACTTTATGTTATCTGCAAGTTTTATGATCCCCTAGAGTACGAAACATAGATTTTCTTTTGCCGTCTGTCTGATCGTTGTAAAATTTTGTGTGTACTTTAGGAATATCAAAATTTATCTGCTTGGAATCGTTATCCCGAAACAACAAATATTTTTAAAATTTTATAAAATAACGTACTCCTCCATTTGTGGTTTATGAACCCGTGTTGAGTTTTTACCTTAGGCGTCTAGATTTTAGAAAAAAATATCAACATTCAAAATTTATCCGTTCATGCCCCCTAGGAATTAATGATGTCATCTTACAATTTTGTTCAATGAATGTTATTTAAAATAAGTGTTAAAAAATAGTATAATCCTGAACTTATGATTTATGAATCCGTGTTGAATTTTTACCCTAGATATAGAGATTTTTCGATTCCTCAATTTTTCTCATTTTGTATTTTTCGATTTCGAATTCTCAATTTTTCGATATTTCGGTGTTAAGATTTTTCAATTTTTCTGTTCATCAGTTTTCCAATTCTTCAAATTTTCGATTTCTTGTTTCTTCTATTTTTCGATTTCTCAATATTTCGAAGTTTGAATTTTCCGATTTTTCAATTTTCTGGTTTTCAAACTTTCAATTTTTGACCTTTGTCAACTTTCAATTTTTCGATTAATCACATTTTTATTTCCCCATTTTTGAAATTCTCGACTTTTCAATATTTCGATTTTTGAGTTTCTCAGTTTTTTGATTTTCAATTTTATGAATTTTCAGGTTCTTGATTTTTAATTTTTAGAGTTTTCGATTTCTCGATTTTTCATTTTTTCGATTGTTCAGTTTTTCCATTTTTCAATTTTTCAATTTGTGAATTTATTTTTACATTTTAGATCTTTAAATTTTAGATTTTTCACTTTGGCTTTTTGATGTTCCTCTTTCAAGATTGTTCAATTTTTCGAAAATTGAATTTTTTTGAATTTTAAAAATGTTAGATGTTTCGATTTCTCGGTTTTTCGTTTTTAAAATTAAAAATTTTTTTTGATGTTTTGACTTCTCGATATTTCGATTTTTCAACTTCTCGGTTTTCGATTTTTCGGTTTTTCAATTTTTGTATTTTTAAAATTTTTGATCTTTCGGTTTTGCAGTTTTTCAATTTTTAACGTTTCCCAATTTTCAGTTTTTTTTATCTCTCGATTTTTTTATTTTCCCATTTCTTGATTGCTTGTCTTTTCAATGTTTCCATTTTTCAGTTTTCAATTCTTCAATGTCGACTTTCCAGTTTTTTGCATTCTCAGTTTTTTGATTTTTTAATTTTTAGGTTTTTCGACTTTTTGATGTCCCGAGTTTTCAATTTTTTCGATAATTTTTCGATTCTTCTTTTTTTCCATTTTTCAGTTTTTCGATATTTTAGTTTTGGGACTTTTCAATTCTTCGATTGTTAAATTTTTAGAATTTTCCACTTTTCGATTTTTCGATTTCTCGATTTTTTCTTCGATTTTTGAATGTTTTTTATTTTTCAATTTTTCAAATTTTTAATTTTTCGATTTCTCGATGTTTTTTTTGAGTGGTCACTTTCTAGATTATTATACATTTTTTATTTTTTTCCAGAAAATTGAAGAGTCGAAAAATTGGGAAATCGAAAAAATGAAAAATCTAAAAACTGAAAAATCGGAATACTAAGAAGTCGAGAAATCGAAAAATGAGAAAATCTAAAGATTAATCGAGAAATGCTAACATTGAATACTGAAATTTCAAAAATTGAAAAATTGATAAATCGAAAAATGGAGAAACCGAGAAATCGAAGATCTGAAAAAGTGAGGAATCGAAATTAGCCAAAATCGAAAAGTTAAAAATTGAAAAATTAAAAAAACAAAATGTCTACAAACTGAACAAAAAAAAACCAAAGATCGAGAGATCGAAAAATTTAAAAAACCCAAGACCAAAAGATTAAAAAATTGAAAAATCTATAAATCAAAAACTTTAAGAATCCACAAATTGAAAAACAAAAAATCTGAATCCGAGAAGTTGAAAAATCGAAAAATAGAGAAATCGAAACTTCAAAAAACTGAATGACCTAAAATTTAAAAATCGGATTAGTACAAATCGAGAAAAGGAAAAAAAAATTAAAATTGCAAAAATTAAAAAATCCCAAAACTGAAATGTCGAAAAATTGAAAAATGGAAGAAAAATTGAAGAACCAAAAAAAAATCGAAAAATTTAAAATTAAAAAAAAATATAGATATATGTTTTGACTTCTCGACCTTTCCTTTTCTCGATATCTCGATCGTCTGATGTTCCAGTTTCTCGATGTTTCAGTTCTTGAATTTTCTCGATTTTTCAATTTTTCGATTCTTAAATGTTTCAATTATTCAGTTTGATATCTCTATTTTTCATTTTTTGGTGTTTCGTTTGTTCGATCTTTCGATTTTTCGGATTTCTATTTTTCAAGTTTTCAGATTATATTCATTGAACCCTTAAATAAAGCATTTCGTAATATAATTTTTTTAGAGCAATTTCTCATATTTTTAACTCGCAAATAAATCAATCTAATGATAATTGTAAGACAATTTTACTCAAACATTGCACGAACACAAACTTTCTTTCATTTCTACCATCATATTCCAGAAGGGAAGTTCCAATTTGGTAATGAAAATGCCAGCGAATAATTACAACCACAAAACAAACATTCCATTGTGAGTAAATTTACACACACCTGACCTGACCTATTAATCCTTGAATCCGATGATCAAGACACCTTAGTACCCCAATGACCGTGAAGTTGATTGGTAATCCAACCCCCCGAAATTCCCGTTCCCGAACTGTCCCATACCCTCCCCAACTCCCCATCCCCACCCTTTCCAGCCGACTTCGCCGCCCCCAAACATCCCGTTTCGCGCTTCCACTTTCAGTAGCGCTCCGCTCGTTCTGCACACCACCACACTCCCACCCGTCGCAAGGTTCCGATCACGTGCCAGCACAGCCCTCTGCGTTTTCGGCGGCCCGCGACGCACAGCCGCCCCCGGCCGCTGTTCGCCCTCGGAAATACGGCCCCCCGTGGGCCTTTAAAATAACTTTTCCAAATGGAAAACAAAAAATATACCTGGCACGCAGGTGGACGTGATTCGCAGATGTTTGCTTAAAGGGCAGCCGAGGCGGCGAGTTCGAGTGCCGCAATAAATAAGTTGGGGAGTTTGTAAACAGGATTATTAATAAAAATAAATCAATTTCGGCGGTCGAGGGTAATTTATTGGAGTGAGCGGGCAAAAGGGAAGATTGATGGAGTTTTTCGGGGGTCTAACGAGCTCGTACCCGGGCCGTAGTCGATCGAGTTTCTTCATGTAAGTGGCGAGAAAAATTTGGCAAAGTGGCTGACGCGGGGACCTCGAATGAGAGTGCGATCACGCCGAACTCGAAACGGCATCTGGGTAAGTTTAATTGGGAGAAATGGAAAAATAACTTCGGCGGAGTGGAAAGTTTGAAAGTTGTCGCGGAAAATTCGCACGGATTTGATGTTTGCGTAAATGCTTGAAAATGAAGTGCCGGAAGCCCTTTCCGGTACACAATCAATCTATAGACGGAGAATGACGGATGAACAAAATAAAAATACGTAGAATTTCGATAAAATTGTACTCTTAAAGGTGATTTAACAAAAAAAATTTTTAACATTATTGACTAAATTGGAAATAAATTTCTAATTTCCTCAGCTACTCTATTTACACCTTGAGCCAAGTATGTGATATGAAAAAAAAATTAAGTTGGATGAAGCTTTACACATTTGATGACATTAATAGGATATTTTCAACCGGAACTGGTTCCGGAAGAAAAAAGTTCCTTAAACCTTCATGAATAAACCTTGTAATGATATTATTATTTGTCTTTTCCAAATCTTTTGTGCTCATCAAATTGGAAGTGCCACATTTTTACTGGTCAAAGTTCCAATTAACAAATTTGCGACATAACGTCCACATGAATCGGTTGTTTCATCGACATGAAAATAAATTAGATTATCGCCTATAATTTGACGAATAGCCTGCTTTGTTTTTTGAAACACTTTGTCTACGTGGCTTTTTCGTAAGGTACTCTCATCGGGAACTGACTTCATGGTACGCTTTTCACACAATTTGAAACAATATCTGTCATCTTCTGGGTGTTGGGCAAAGATTCTACGAGCAGACTTTGTGACTTCATATTAGTAGAATTCTTCAACTTATTTTTTGAAGACTTGTTCCAATATGCTGAGTTTTCGAAAACTTCTTTTCACAGGCGACCTGAACAATAAAATTAATTCATATTGCACATGCTTTTCTTCTCGCGTTTACTGAAAGCAACAAAATATCAATAAATTAAAGCAATTCTTTGAAATTAAAATGTGACAAATTAAAAAATATAGCAAATATCTTAACAGGTACTAGCCCCGCCCACCCACCCTCTCTTTTCTTACAGGGTTTGTCATTTGCCAAAATCACGTCTCTTTTCTTCAGTTCGAGTTTAAGACAGATTTTGGCAAATGACATACCTTCTAAGAAAAGAGAGGGTGGGTGGGCGGGGCTAATACCTGTTAAGATAAAACTGATCTTCGCAGGTACTAGCACCTCCCACCTGCTCTCTATCTTTTTAGAGAGATCTCATTTGTCAAAATTAGTCTTATTCTAACAAGTACTAGCCCCGCCCACCCACCCTCTCTTTTCTTCCAGACTATGTGATTTTCCAAAATCAGTCTTATCCTAGCTGGTAGCTGCTAAAATATATCTGATTTTGGCAAATGACATACCCTCCAAAAAAGAGAGGCTGGGTGGGCGGAGCTAGTACCTGCCAAAGTAAGACCGATGTTGGCAAATGAGATACCTTACAAAAAAAAAGATCGAGTGGTAGGGATACTAGTAGATAAAACGAATTTTAGCAGGTATTAACTCCGCCTACCCGTGTTTTAGAGGATATCTTATTTCACAAAATCAGTCTTATCTTGGCAGTTACTACACCCTTCCTCCCACCCCACCCACGCTTTCTTTCTCAGAGGGTACGTCATTAAGACAGATTTTGGCAAATGAGATGTCTAGTAAGAAAACAGAGGGTGGGTGGGTGGGGCTAGTACCTGCTAAGATAAGACTGATCTTGGCAAATGATATACTTTCCAACAAAATAGAGGGTGGGTGGGCGGGGCTAGTAGCTGCTAAACTAGTCCCACCCACCATTTTTTCTCTTATAGGGTATGTCAGTTGCCAAAATCAGTTTTATCTTAACAGGTACTAGCCCCGCCCACCCACCCTCTCTTTGCTTATAGGGTATGTCATTTGCCAAAATCAGTTTTATCTTAACAGGTACCCACCCACCCATCCTCTCTTTCCTTCAGTTCCAGTTTAAGACTGATTTTGGCAAATGACATACCTTCTAAGAAAAGAGAGAGTGGGTGGATGGGGCTAGTACTCCTACGACTGATTTTGGCAAACGAATTAGTACAGAAAAACAAAACAATTCTTTTGACTTAAAAATAATTTATTGCAATTATTCATTACTTGAAAGTACTTGTAATACAAGACTGATTGTGATAAATTACATACACCCTAAGAAAATAAAGGGCGGGTGGGCGGAGCTAGTATTTGTCAAAATAAGATTGATTTTGGTAAATGACTGAACAATATTAAGAGAAATCACTGGAATGAAGAGGGGGTGGGTGGGCGGGGCTACCGCCTTCTTATGAAAGATTCTGTAAGAAAAGTTAAAATTAGCCCCGCCCACCCACCAGTCCTTTTATTTTTTTATTCAAAAATAAGAAATAAATGTTACAGCAAATAAGTAGTATAACAAAAAAATTACGATTTAAAAGCCTACGATCTCTTAGTTCCCAATTCCATTTTACAAAAGAACATATAATTCATCTCACCCACCCACCCCGCCTCCATTTCAGGGATTAGCGCGTGTGTGTACCTAGTAATGCAAAATCAATCTTAACAGGTACTAGCCCCACCCAATATTAGGTTAAGTTGTTTATAATGAAAGGTTAGAAAATCTGATAAAAACTGACAACACTGTTTCCAGTCATTTCGCACCTTTCTTCTATAGCTCAAGATTTTTTTTTACGGATTTTCCCCTATTTTCTACGGCCATTATGAAAACTTTCTCATATTTTGAAGATAACTTATAAGACAAAAAAATTCGGCATTATTTCTATTTATTATTTCCAACTTTCTGAAGGTTTCTCATAATTGAATGAAATGAAATTTATCATATTAGGTTAAATTGTTTTTTTTCGGTGTGAGTCGAAGGGCGGAGCTTAATTGCAAAATTATTATTTTTCTACAAGAAACTACCATATGAAACATGTGTTAAGTAACGTGTTGTTGAAAGGAAACTAACTATATATGTTAAGAAAAAAAAGTAAAAAAAATAAGCCCCACCCACCCGCCCCGGTCTCAATTGTGATGATTTTTTCATTCGTTGTCAGGCCTAGGGGCGGAGCTTAATTGTAAAATTGCTGTTTCCCGACAAAAATGTACCATTTTAATCATCTTAAATATCTTGTCGTGAAAAGAATGTTACGTACATATATGTATCCAGAAAAAAAAGTAAAATTAAGCCCCGCCTACCCATCGCCAGGTTGGACAATCTGACAAAAACTTTAACACTATCGCCATTTTGTATTTTAAACAATTATTATCAATATTTAATAAGCATAGTTAGTATGTATTACCAAATTTAAAATTCACCTATGAATAAGGAATAATTAAATTTTAACTTTAATAATAATCCCCATTAACATTTTTGATCATATTATACAAGGTTATAATAGAGTAAGGCACAAAATTCATAAAAAGCGCAGTATTTGTTTTTTTTACTCTCCATCTAGTAGTAGTAATGGAGCTCATCGGAAGACTGGCTGCTTTTATATTTTCTCGACGTTTTATGACCCCTACAATATGTGGCAAAGTTTATGAAATTCTTCGTATTTAATACTAACTAGCTACCACCCTGCTCTCTCTATTGTGGTTAACATAACTAACACTACATTTAATAGCTTCCCCACTAATAATTCACCTAATACTAGTGTATATAACTTTAAAAAAGCCAGGTTTCACTTCCTCTATCATGATCTGTGTAACATTGATTAGTCAGTTTTAAATACTTCTGATGACATTAATATTCTAACCGAGCGTTTTTATGACATTTTATATCAAGTTTTGGATAAGCATGTTCCAGTATATCATAATCATCAAGATAAAGTACAGTATCCACCTTGGTTCGATCTCTCTATTATTAAAAATATTAAATTTAAATCTTATTATCACAAAAAATTTAAACAGTCACTTAACGAATTTTACTACTCTAAATTTAAATATTACCGTAAGATTATTAAAAACCAAATAAAAGCTGTTTACAAAAAATATACTGACTCTATGCAAACAAATATTTCCAAAGATCCTAAAATATTTTGGTCTTATGTTAAATCAAAAAAGGTCTTACAAGAATTCCGGGTAAGATGGCTTACAATGATAATATATTAAATTCACCTAATGACATAGTTAATGCATTCGCTATGTATTTTCAGACTTCTTACACTTCGTCGCAAAATTCATCGTCACAAAAATTTACAACTGGAGTTCACTCTCTTCCCATAAATATCAGTAAAATCACTGATAAAGACATCTTGTCTGCTTTACGTAATATTAAAAATTCTTTTACAGCAGGGCCAGATCAAATACCAAGCTTTCTATTACGTGACTGTGCAGGTTTGTTTGTCCAGCCTCTGTCAATAATCTTTAATGTTGCTCTTAGTACTGGTACTTTTCCCTCAAAATGGAAAACCTCTAAAGTTACCCCGATATTTAAATCAGGTGAAAAATCGAATGTCAGTAATTATCGACCAATATCCATAATTTCAAACTTCGCTAAAATCTTTGAGATAGTTCTGTACTCGCGTATCTATTTTCATATTCAGAATTACATAACACCTCAACAGCATGGTTTTATGAGTAAACGCTCCACTGAAACAAATCTCACATGTTTTTCACAATTTCTTTCAGAGGCACTTGACAATCAGTCCCAAGTTGACACTGTTTACACAGACTTTGCAAAGGCCTTCGACCGAATTGATCACAGGTTATTATTGTTAAAGTTAGAATCGTACGGTTTTTCTGGTAAACTTTTGGAACTTATAAGATCATACTTAAGTGATAGATTGCAATACGTTTTTTACAATGGTTTTTCATCATTCTTCTTTAAGGCAGTATCCGGTGTTCCCCAGGGCTCCAATCTTGGGCCCCTACTTTTTTCTGTTTTTATCAATGATCTCCCTGATTCACTGAATTGTCACATTCTATTATATGCAGATGATGCTAAGCTTTTTTGTATTATAAATGATCTTAATGATGCTTTGCAACTTCAGGAGGACTTACATAAACTTACAATTTGGTGTTCTAATAATAACTTC